TTTTGGGCTCGTTGAAGACCAGTCGTACCGCTGCATTCTGAATCATTTGTAGAGGTTTGATTGTGCTTGATGGAAGTCAAGCCAGAAGAGCATTGCAGTAGTCCAGCTTAGAGATGACAAGGGCCTGGACAAGAAGTTGTGCAGCATGCTCCATTAGAAAGGGCCTGATCTTTCTGATGTTGTGCAATGCAAACCTGCAAGATCTTTGCAATGTGGTCTTTGAAGGTCAGCTGGTCATCGAAGATTACACCAAGATTTCTAACCGAAGTCAATGGGGTAATTGTAGAAGAACCTAGCTGGATGGTGAAATCATGCTGTAGAGTTGGAGTGGCAGGGAAGACAAATATATAGCAAAATCTTGCATAATATGCCATATTTGTATACTACACGTTCCAGAACCTATATTTCACAAATCACATGACTGATAAACCAGGGAGTTTTTCACAGGGTCAGCTGCCATATATCATAAGCTAGAAAACGATTTTGTAATTTTTAGAAACTATTTCTGTTTCAAGGGCCACAGATACGTGCAGATACAAAATATGTTTACAAAAGATATAAAGGTGTCACAGACAAAAAAAGACTGAACTCAGAACCAGAAGCTGTGTTTTCTTCAAAACAAAACAAAACTTTGCCTCTTTTTTTCAAGACTTCACACACAAATCCAAGAACTGCACACACAAAATGCAAAATGCCTCACATCTCTTGCACTGCATTCAAAATATCACACACACATCTCAAAAGCAAACATTTGAAAACACTTTTGCCATAATATTAATTCCTGTTAGTTTTGTGTGTTACATAGAGAATTATGTGTTGTGTTTTGCAAAAAGTGTTTCCTGAAATTGAAAACCGAGTCAAAGGCCGAGAATTAGTGTAAGGTTTTGCAGATTTGGTGTGTGCTTCTGCTGTTTGAGTGTCAGCTTTCAGAAACTGTATGACAAGTACAGATTGTGTGTGTTTGTAAGTTGAAAAAACTGTAATTAGTGTGTATTCCCATTAATTAATGTCTAAAACCATGATGAAAGCATCCATCTTTTTCAGTTTTTGTGTAGATTAGCTCACAATGAGTCACTGAAAACATAGACTTGTCTGCAAAGAAACTGAAATAGAGAAATATTGAAAATGTGTTTTTGAGGGTCAGCACCTTCACTTGACAATAACTTGATAATGGATTCTTAAAACAGAACTATTCAGATCAATATTAAACCACCAGCTACAGCAGAAACCCATCAAAACATGAATTAATCAACTCTCTTGAAACTAACTAGTGTTTTTCTTCTTTTTTTTACTTGCAGTGAACTCTAAAGATTCTTGTCAGAAACACTTAAACTGGCCTTGAGAGTTTTATTGCAGATTTGCATGTGACCTTTCTCGCTTGCTGACTGTCTTTGAGTTTACAAGTTGCCAAGAGATACAAGATACGAACAGAAACCTCTGCATCTGTGCTTCACATCAGTTTGTTTTAGAAGAAGACAATGAAAAAAAGTGAAAAATGTGTGGAAAAGTTTGCTAATTAGCAAGCAAGCATTTTTTAAATCAAGAAAATTTATATTTCTTTTTTTCTTTCTTTCTTTCTTTCTTTCTTTCTATTTATTTATTTGAAATAGGCTTATGAAGACACTAAAACACTGTTTTCAGATTGTGTTTTCTTTGTCTTGTGGTTCATGGCTAGTCGTAGGAAACCTATATAAAAAAGTAACATACTAAACATGAACTGAAACATAAAAAGTGACACATTATTTAAACGCTTTGCTGGATTAATGTCGTTTAAATCAACTGATTTTTATTTTCTTCGGGTGCATAGTAATTTCAAACAAATTTCCTATGAGAAACAAAGTGGATATTCCTCCAAGGGCCCACGCTTGAAGACTCAGAAAAGAAAAAAAAACGATTTGTCTTGTTGGATATTTGTATACTTTAAAAGTGTAAATGCCTATGTAAAAGAAATATCTACTAAACCCTGACATACAAATGTATTTGCGGTTTATTAGTGCAATAACAATGTACTGCTTTAGCAATAGGCCTAAATGAAGTGAGAACACTCAATGTTAAGATAACTTGGAGAAATATATAGTTCAGTCATGAAACTCTAGATGGCGCAGGCTGACGGGGTGTTAACGTAACTGATGATATTCAGAGAGTTAAACGCCTTGGCACAAGCTGATTGGTTCATGCTGCATATGCAGCCAATCAGCTTACTGCCTTGCATTTATATGGCTACCATGCTAAAATGTTCCGAGAGTTGTCATGATTGAAATATTATTTATTATTATAATAATGTGTATTATTGCAATTTGACACTAGTGTTATTAATCTGTGTAGACATTCAATTTGATTTATTTAATCGAATGACAACCCATGCATGCAGTAAATGATGAGATGAAGGCAGAAGAATTGGAGAAAAAAAATACATAATTATATGAAATGATTAAGTACATACATTTTATTATGGTAAATAGCTAACACAAAGTCATAGTCTGTCAACTTTTTTTTTTGTTTCTTTGCTTTTGGTTTTCCTATTACCATAAGGTTTGAAAATATCAATTTTGGTTTCAACGGGGGAAAAGTCCTTTTCTACCATCTATGTTTTCGAAGCGTAAACGATTTTCTGTCAGCGGCCAGTTTCTCGAAAGAAGAAACCGATGAAGGTGCATCTTCTTGAGGACTTTCCCTCACACATTCATCCTCTACACGTGCTTATCAACAAACCGCAATTCACTCAAAAGTTCCCAAACCACACTGGACCCACATACGTGTTGTTACTGTCCCTGATGGACTCGCAGTCCCCCTCTAATCGGGGTTTTTTGGTGTGCGCGCACGCAACTCCGCAGGAAGAGACCGATGTAAACATTCCCACGTGCGTCGCTGTTTACGCGAGCAGATCTTTCCTCAAACACTACAGCCTGAAGGAGCACTCACCGGGAACGCTTCGTCCACAGTCTCTGCTGCCGTTAAAGAGGATTGTGATTGGCGCTCAGACCAAGCAGAGCTTTAAATGGGCTTCTTCAGAGAAGTTCTCCAATGCTCTGCTGATCCTGGCCTCCTGTCACGGACAGACTCTGCTGGCGAGGCAAGGCGATGCTCTGCTCTTACCCTACCATCATTTACTGGGTGAAGAAGCCGCACAGGTGCAGCAGCAGCTGTCAGAGGTGATGGTGCTGGAGTGCACACCTGTCAGCCAGGGCACGATAACAGTGGACACCAGTATGGTGCTCTCCGACTGCAGAGATCTGGAGCTTAGCAGCACCAGCATCATGCTAGCGTCCTCTCTCTTTGTCTCTGATTTCGCCCAGTATGCGAACAGTTTGAGTTCTGGCGGCTCTTTGCTGAACAGTAGAGTGCTGGACTTCAGTGCTTTCTCGCAGGCTCTTGAATGCAGACTCGGTGTGCGCGTGCTAGACGCCTCAGACCTCCACAAACCTGGAGGAATACTGTCTAGGCTCGAGCGTGATGAAGGACATGACGCTGACAGCACTGTTTTTGTGAACAAGAGCTTGTTGCTGAAGCTGGGTGTGTTTAACGGGGAGTGGGTCATTGCGTCCGTCCCAGCAGAGAAGGTGAAGAAGAGTCCCGTCTGTGAGACTCCCTGTAAGAGACAGGGACGCGTTCATCTGGTTGCACTCAGAGCGTTTGACACAGTTAGGCACCAAGACACGGATGGGAATGACTCTAATGTGGGCTTGATTTCACCTGTTCTGTGGTTTAACCTGTCAGACGGGATGGCAGTGCCTGTTGGAAACAAGACCATAAAGATTAAGGTGAAGGAGGTTATAATAATTGTGTTGGTCAGCTGAATCCGGTCAACCAGTTTAAATGTTAAAATTCACAGCTTAAAAATGGAAATCAAATCAGTTTGTTTTTTATCACAGTGTTGCTTTTATGTTAACATGGGATTATTTGATGTAATTTCATTAATTGGTTTGAGCAGATTTGCCATGTGCATAAACATCTTTTATTTTATTTAGAAATATTCTGTGATATTATTGAGAACTATTAATTCCTCACTTCTTGCCAATGCTTTGGTTGGTTGGTTATTTATTGTAATTTAATTTAATTTAATTTATTTAGTTTAATTTAATTTAAATGTCATTTTTTTTATTTTTTAGTTTAATTTAATTTAATTTAATTTATATTTGGTGTAATATGCAGTTATCATTTCAGATGTAAGATTAGACCTTGGTGATAATATAGTTCACATTTTGGTGAAATATTATTGCATAACTGTTTTCTATGTGAATATCTGTTAAAATATCATTTATTTCTGTGATCAAAGCTGAATTTTCAGCATCATTAGTCCAGTCTTCAGTGTCACATGTGTTGCGTTTGATAAGGATCACAGCGACACAGCGAGTAACATCAACTTATCGTATCTTTTTATTTAACCTCTCTGTTTCAGACCCCAGTAAACGAACACATACATTGGTCAGGCATGACAGAATGCTTTCAGCACAATCAAACTCGATGCATCACTAAACACTAACTCAATGCATTATCAAACAACACTTGTGAAGGACCGGGTCCTGTTCCGATGCCTCCTTCAATTCTTGTAACAATACAACGGCCTGGAGGGGTGTGTGTAACAACTGGACAATGTCCCGTTCCACCTGGTCCGTGTCAGTGTGCGTGTGTGTGGTGGGGTGTGGCTGAGCGGAGCGGGACAGTAGATCGGCCACAACATTGTCTCTGCCTGGGGTGAACTTCAGGTCAAAGTTATACTGGCGAAGACGGTCGGACCAGCGGTGAATCGCTTGTGGTGCCCGACTCAAGCGCTCCCAGCTGACCCTCGGCTCCCAGGCAATGCAGTAACAGCACTTTTTTGCGGGCTGCACTCACGTCAATCAGCCCCACTGCCAAGATGAAAGTCTCAAAGGATTGTAACCAGCGAGTCCAGGGTTATCAAACAACACTTGTGTGAGAACACAACAACATGATCTTCAGAAATCATAATAATATGCTGATTTGTTATCAGTGTTCATTTTTGCTGCTTCCTTTATTTTTATTTTAAACCTGTGATACATTTTTCTGGATTCTTTGATGATTAAAAAGTTAAAAAGAACAGCATTTGTTTAATTGTAACATTCCACACTACCGTTCAAAAGTTTGGGGTCAGTAATTTTTTTCTTTCTATTTTTTAAAGAAATTAACACTTTAAGCAAAGATGTGTTAAACTGATAAAAAGTGATATTAAAGACTTGTATTGTTAGAAAATCTATTTTAAATAAATGCTGTTCTTTTAAAACTTTTTAAGAATCCTGAAAAATGTATCACAGGTTCCAAAAAACAATATGACGCAGCAAAAACTGTTTCCAACACTGAGAATAAATCAGCATATTATAATGATTTCTGAAGATCATGTGACACTGAAGGCTGGAGTAATGATGCTGAAAATTCAGCTTTGAAATCACAGGAATAAATGACAGTTTAAAGTATATTAAAATAGAATACAGTCATTTTAAATTGTAATAATATTTCACAATTTTACATTTTTTTTCTGTATTTTTGATCAAATAAATGCAGCATTGGTGAGCAGAAGAAGCTTCTTTAAAAAACATAAAAAATCGTACTGGTCCCAAACTTCTGAACGGCAGTGTATACAATCAATAGTTACATATTTTGCTTTATGTGAGTGTACTGTATGCAAATATAGCTGGACAAACTTATATATCCAACATAATTTATAGTGTAGATCTGTGCTGTATATTTATAATTTTGTGACTATAAACATAGAAGCTATAGAGATTTGCTGCATAAAGTATAAATCATTTTCCACGAGTATACTACAGTATGTGTGCAAATTAAACGAGTTATACTTTATATATCCAAATCTATATAGTGAGGAAATATAAATACTTCTCTAAATTGGCATATTCATTTTCACTTCAAAAAGATTGCTTCAACAGAAATGACCCAGTTTATTTAGTTGTGAAATGGCTGATATATAAAAATAGTAGTGCTGTCAAACGATTAATTGCGATTAATCGCATCCAAAATAAAAGTTTTTGTTTACATTATATATGTGTATACTGTGCATATTTATTATTTATATATACACACATGCATGTAAAATATGTTATGTTCATATATTAAATATATTTATAATATAAATTATATGAATATAAATATATACATGTAAATACATGTAAATATTTTCAAACTGTATACTGTATGGGTGTGTATTTATATATATATATACATAATAAATATACACAGTACACACATATATTATGTAAACAAAAACTTTTATTTTGGATGCGATTAATCGCGATTAATCGTTTGACAGCACTAAAAAATAGACACCTATTTTATAAAAATTTTTATTAAAATGAACAAAAAACAGCTCTGGTTATCAACTGCTGCTCGTCTCAGAATGGCCAAAGATTATGTATCACTCTGCCACTATATCTGGTAATATTCAGTGAGTGGATCAGATGTAAACAGTTGTGTGATGTGGTTTAACTCAAGCAGAGGTGGAATAAGGCATCGTCTGAGGCCGGGTCTCAGATCTCTGTGAGCGCGTGTCGATGTGCAGCGCCGCCGTTTGCTAAAGAGCTGCACATTGAAGCCGTCATATCTCCACACTACAGCTCTCATGGGCCCTTCGACAGCATCCTCTACAAACACTTCAGCTCACCCAGGTGCTCACAGCGCATTTACAGTCATATACGAACCTCTTCCTGGTTTTCCTGAGCATTGTGTTTGTTTGCAGGCTTGTTCAGCCGGGGAGTATATTGGAAATCCCATCTGAAGGGCATCCCGATCTAATAGAGAACAGCTCTGAAGGAATCCTCAGGTGCGGGTTTATCTTCAACGGCTGCTTTAGAGATCTCTGAAAATCAGTCCTCATGCAGGTTCTGTTTCGCAGGTGGCCTGTGCTGTATTTCAGAGTGAAACAGGTGTGTGGTTTCTCTGCTGAGGTGGATGAGGTTTCTTCATATCTGGCTGACTCCAGTCACACTTCACTGTACATGGTGAGAAAAGAAGACAATCACCGAGATATTAACAATAGTCCAGTCGGAATCATACCGCACAGTTAATATATGCAGGTGTGCTCAAGCTCTGATTGGCTGTCCACAGGGAGGCTCCGCCCACAGCTGGTCTCCCTGCTCTGTTCTGCCGAAGGGTTGGTCTTTCTGGACGAGTCTCTGTCCTCCGAGTCTGTCCAGCACTGTGGAGCAACTGCTCACTATCATCCAACCTCACTTCTGTGAAGGGTCTGTATTGTGTACATATTATGAATAAGGTGCTCACAACCACAATATTGTGGTATTAAGTACACAAATTCTCATTCAAAAGTTAAGCATATTCATGTTGTGTGTCCTTCTTTCCGTTAGAAGAGTAAATCTCAATTTTTTGGACTAGAAAGTCCACCATTGTCAAATACTTGTTCTCTCTCTCTCTCTCTCTCTCTCTCTCTCTCTCAATATATATACACATGTACACTCTTAAAAATAAAGGTTCTTTATTGGCATCAATGGTTCAACAAAGAACCTTTACAATCCATGGAACCTTTTTATTGCACAAAAGGTTCTTTACCGTGGAAAAAGGTTCTTTAGATTTTTAAAATGTTCGTCACACTAAGAAAAAATGGTTCTTTTAGGAACTGTTCACTGAAAGGTTCTTTGGAGAATCAAAATTGGTTCTTCTATGGCATCGCTGTGAAAACACCCCTTTGGAACCTTTATTTTTAACAGTGTATATATAACCCTGGAGCACAAAAGCAGTCTTAAGTCGCTGGGGTATATTTGTAGCAATAGCCAACAATTCATTGTATGGTTCAAAATTATCAATTTTTCTTTTATGCCAAAAATCATTAGGATATTAAGTAAAGATCATGTTCCATGAAGATTTACAAATCCTCGTTTTGTACTTCTAATAAATGTGACCGTTGTTTTGTTTTGATCTCTCTGCTGCGTTTCCGCGTGCGTCACTTCTGAGCGGCGCATGTGCAAAGCTGACCTCATACATCATCCGCCCGGAGCTGCTTCTGTGTACAACAGTGAGCGCAAGCTACATTCAAGTGATTATTACGTTTTGAATATGGATATTTTTCTTACAAAAACGCATCGATTCGCTACAGGAGGCCTTTGTTCACCCCCCGGAGCCGTGTGAGACACTTTTTATTATGGATGGATGCGCTTTATTTAACTTCTTTTGGACTGATGCACGCAACACCCGCTGAGTGCCATGAAACAGCTTGAAAGATCAAAGACAATTTTTAATATAACTCCGACTGGATTCGTCTGAAAGATGAAAGTCAAATACACCTAGGATGCCTCGGGGGTGAGTAATTTATGGGCTAATTTTCATTTTTGGGTGAACTATCCCTTTAAGATTGGTTTTGTGGTCTACGGTCACATATATATTTGAAGGCCCCCCAACCCATGTAGGCTGAAATATTTTATGTATTTCTGCTCTAATTATGACTAATTATGAAACAATAATTTTCAAAGAGTATTTATTAACAGAACCTGTTAATTATGAAGTATTGGTGTATTAAACAATTAACCACAATTCATTTTGTAATTCCGGAACTTTATATTCTTCAATAAAAATGATAGTTATTGAGGAAAAAAGAAATATGATTTTAGTTTACATCTTGATTTTATGTTTATATTTAGATTAAAGTTAGATTATTGTAATATATTAATACAAATGTATTCATTTACTTTGAAGTCATCCTGCTGCCTCCTTAAGAACTACAGCTTTAGAAGAGGTTTTAAGTCGTAGTTGATGCTGTATCTTGTATTTGAGCTTTGCTGGAATGCTGGATTGATAAAATGTTAATATATTAAAATATTATTGCTGTTTAATTTACATAATATTTTTGAAATGATTCTCTTGCAGCTCTCTAACATTAAAAAGAGTCTGTTCGGTTCTTCTGATGGGTCCGGATGGCAGTGGTAAAGTTACCGCAGTAAGAGCAGCTAGCAGGAGGCTACATCTGCATCTGATCAAGGTGAGCTGTGATTTTTCCACATCGTTTTTCTTGAGTTTTGTTTTTTTTCACAGTTACGAGCATCAAAACCTTCATAAGTTGTGGCTTTCATAAGTTCACAGGAAACAACCCATATGAAAATTAACCATGGTTTTACTACAAATTAAACCAAAAAAAAAACATGGTTACTATTGTTAAACCATGGTAACCACAAATTAACCATGGTTTTGCTACACTAACCATAGTTTCTTCTCTAGACTTAATTTCTCTGGTGAACTAACAAGCTGTAGACACTGATGACTTGCCTGAGGTAAATGAAATGCTATGTGACATTTTGTTTACAAGCTGTTTTAATCACATCTTTCTGCGAGTGAAACACTGATTGTGCGATTACATGAGATGTTCATTCATGTTTATTTCACTTTAATAAAACTAGAAGTAAAGAGGAAGGGATGATCACGCTCACTCGCGCTCCGCACAAGTTTATACAGTGATCTGTCGCGCCACATCAAAGAGCGCCAAAATGCCATTTATTGTTTGTATTTCCTGAAAAAAATGAATTTGTTCGGTACACGTGCGTACCGAACCGAAAGACCCGTACCGAAATATATATTTATAAACATTTTTTCCCCCCCTGTAAATCATATTCTTCTATAAAGGACACAAGATTGCATTTTTCTTTTTCATCACTTTAAGCGCTTTTGTATAAGAAGCAAGATCATTAAAAATGCACAAAATGTTGGTTTCACTTACAAGTACTTAGATTTGTGTATATAAATTTTCCCAGCAGAAGTATGTTGTTAACGAGGAAGTCATCTTTGTTATTGTTTGTTCGGGGAGGACTTATAGACGACAATATCAGCGTGCTCTCGTTATTTCCTTATCACTTCTCATGTGCGTTTGGCTGTAGTTTGCGGATCAGACAGAGTTGTGGGCGATTCTTCGTATTGTAAAGTCATGCAGTGTGTAACCTCCTGTCGCCGATCCATCGTGCAACTGAATGCTACCCCAGATAGTCGTGCAGTGTGAAAACTACGGTGATCCGACGACTCTGAAAATCATGCAGTGTGAACTCGGCATAATTTTACGTCACTATATTACAAATAAATCCTAATCTAATCGTGACAAACTACACATCGTTGAGAAGGTCTAAGACTCCTAAATTTATATTTTACCACTGTTTTTGTTACAAATTATGTAGGAAACGTAATAGATTAATTTATGACGAGTGCACCTCAAAAATCTACATCATAACAGGAGTTCTGACCTTTGTCACAAAAAGTCTTTCTTCGCTGCCTTTTTCCCTTTCACGCTTTAGAAATCATCAGAAATTATATATGTTGAAAGCTTAAAATACCAAAATTCATCCTTTGAAAACCATTTTAAAATCAGACATTGCATTACTATGGAAATGGTACAACAAAATTATATAACAAAATGTTTTCGTTCATGAATTATAAAAATTTTAGTTTGGATCGTGCACCTTTTCATGTTTAAAAATGGGAGTGACAGTTAAAGGGTTAAATCAAAATCAGATGAAATATGTAATGGTTTCCTTCTTTCTTTTGCTCTTCTGCAGTGTGGTGGTGGGGTCTGAGCAGCCCGCGGGAGCTGTCCTCAGATGCGATGGCAGCGTTTGTGCACCAGGTGGCGCTAGAGAGTCTGTCCGAGGAGCAGCGCAGGACGATGCTCTCCAGTCTCAGTGAGGACCTGCTGTTGGGAAAAGACGTCAATCTTCGCAAGATTGCCAAACAGACAGCTGTGAGACTATCATCTATCTCATCTTCGCATTCAAATTGACCATATGTGACCCTGGACCACAAAACCAGTCATAAGGGTCAATTTTTCAAAATTGAGATTTATACATCATCTGAAAGCTGAGTAAATAAGCTTTCCATTGATGTATGGTTTGTTAGGATCGGACAATATTTGGCCGAGATACAACTATTTGAAAATCTGGAATCTGAGGGTGCAAAAAAAATCAAAATATTGAGAAAATCGTCTTTAAAGTTGTCCAAATTAAGTTCTTAGCAATGCATATTACTAATCAAAAATTAAGTTTTGATATATTTACGGTAGGAAATTTACAAAATATCTTCATGGAACATGATCTTTACTTAATATCCTAATGATTTTTGGCATAAAAGAAAAATGGATAATTTTGACCCATACAATGTATTTTGTGTCTTAACAAAATAGTCTTAAGTGACTTAAGACTGCTTTTGTGCTCCAGGGTTATATATGTACTATTTTATACACGTTCCTGGTCCAATTATGAAACGTTTTGGAGTGTATTGTTCCAAAGAGAAATGTGCAAATTGCTCTGCATCCAGTGAATTACCATATTATATCACTTTATGCAAGTAAATTTGATTGCCAGTGCCATTTCATGTTGGCTTTGTTTCTGTAGGGTTTTGTTTTAGGAGATCTTTGCGCACTCCTTACCAACGCTGGGAACGCCGCTCACAGACGACTTCTGCAGACGTAGTGAGTCTTCATTCACCCTGCTGCTGATATTCGCTCCAGACATTGTTTGTGTCCGTTCTGTCGAATGGATCAGAAACTGGTGTGCTGTAGTTTTTCAGAAGCGACGAGTGAACAGGAAGAGGAGGATCTGTGTGTCTCTGGGATGAGCGTCACGTCTGAGGACTTCAGCGTGGCTCTGGATATTCTACAGGAGGCGCATTCACAAGCCATCGGAGCGCCACAAGTACAGCTACCTTGTTTTTCCTTGATTGAGTCCTTTGCATTAAGCATACTTTTAAAAACAAGTTCAAAGACAATGCACTTTTAATAAACCGAATTTAATGTTTTTGCACACTTAAATGCATGTTCACTGCAATTAAATGGACATGTACTATATTTTACATTTATATCAAAAGCAGAACTTAAGTACATCTTTATATGTAATTTCATAATTACTTATTGTCTTGTAAATATGGGTTAATTGTGCTGCCGAATGTACTGACAAGCATTTATGATAAACTAAAATATACTTCAATGTCATTTCTATTGAAACTTGTATGTCAAGTATTTAAATATATAACACTACAATAATAATCCACTACTTGTCTTTGCATGCACTTTAGCATGTTAGTCAGCTCATCGTGTCGCTGGTAGAGATGTAATGATTTGAAAGTTTCTTATTACGATTATAATGACCTAAACTATCACGGTATTGTTAAAATGTGCTGGAAATGTTCAAATAAAGCAATAAGCCCCAAGAAGCAGTGGCTTACAGTGAATTTATAACAGCTAAGGGGCCGTTGTTAGGTACGACACGAAGCGGAGTGCCTAAAACCCCCTTAGCTGTTATAAATTCACTGTAAACCACGGCTTCACAGG